AAATTTATCACTTCATTCCAACACTTTATTTTTAAAGGACTAGCCATCTTAGCCGAGCGCTGGTGGCTCATACCTGTAATCCTAGCTACTCAGGAGGCTGAGATCTGAGGATCCTGGTTCAAAGCCAGTCTGGGCAAAAAAGTCCATGAAACTCTTATCTACAATAAACCACCAGAAAACCAGAAGTGGCACTGTAGCTCAAGTGGTAGAGCACTAGCCTTGAAGAGCTGAGGGACAGTACCCAGGCCCAAGTTCAGGCTCCACAACTGACAAAAAAAAAAAAAAAAGGACTAGCCATCTTAAAAGGTAAACCATGATTTTTGCTTTCTAGTTCCCTAATGATGAGTGATGGTGCTTAGAGGCCATTTGTAGATCTTCATTGGCAAAATACATATTCAAGGTTTTTGGTTCCCCTGTCCCTCTCCCCCTCCCCCACATCTCTTCCTCCTTCTCTTCTTTCCTGAGCTGAGAGTCACACAGAGCACAGGCACAGAGTCTCCAGCAATGCTTGAATCTTATGGAGTCACCATCCCAGCTCAGCGTGGGTGCCTCCCTGTTACACAGAAGATGCTGAAGCACAGGGCAAACCTGGGTCCTGGTGAAGGGGTTTCACTGTGCACTTGGAGCCGCTTGTGTGAGGCAGGTGAGGAGGAACATCCTCCCCACAAGTTACATGAGTCGGGAAGTTACTTACAGGTTCCTGGCAAGGGAGATTCACTGTCGGCATCCAAGGCTCAGGAAAGCTGGTCAAGGCAGATGGCATCCCACGTGCACTGCAGCTGAGGATCCCAGAATACGAGACAGGACACCCTGGGCTGAAGCAAGGAGGCCATCTTGTTTCTAGGAAAGGCAAAACCAGAGGCCAGGCTGTTCACTGCAGAAGCTCTAAAGCATCTCTCACCCCTCCACAGGTTTCACTAGAGTTCGATTTTTTTTTTTTTTTGGGTCCGGTCGTGGGGCCTGAACTCTGGGCCTGGGCGATGTCCCTCAGCTCTTCAGCTCAAGACTAGCGCTCTACCACTTGAGCCACAGTGCCACTTCCGGCTTTTTTTCTTATGTGGTGCTGAGGAATCGAACTCAGGGCCTCGAGCATGCAAGGCAAGCGCTCTACCACTGAGCCACCTTCCCAGCCCCATCACTAGAGTTCGATTTTAAACTCTGGTTCATTGTCTCTTTGTCTGAAGCTGCAGTCCAAAAATCTATTATTATTTCACTAGGTGCCAGTCAGCTCTACTTTGTCCACTAACCTTTGTAAGCTAGGTGCTGAGCTATGCACTAGCCATGCAGGCATTATTTCAAAACTTGACCTCTGGCTACTTCCTCCTTTGTATTTCAGCCTGGTGAGTGTCCTCACAGCCCTGGGCTTTCTTTCTGAACCTTTCTTTCCTGATTTTCCACATTTTTCCCAGTTAAGCCACACCCCAGACCTTTTAGCTTAAGTTATTTTTTTTCAGGTAAGTTTTCATGATTTTGCCCAGGGTTGACCTCAGGCCACAGATCCACCTATCTACACTTTGCTGGAGATGGGATCACAGGCATTCATCACTATACCTGGCTTATTTGCTGAGATGGGCTCTTCTTAACTTTTTGCTGGGCTGGCCTGGAATTGTGATCTTCCTGATTTCTGCCCCTCTAATAGCTGGGGTTATGGATATAAGCCACTGTACTCAATTCTTCTCTTCACCTTTTAATTTCCTCCTCATCCTTCAGATTTCTCCTTGGATTCTTCAAATGTAACAGTGCCTGAAGTCCATTTAATGATCATGTATATTGTAATGATTTTTGAATTTTGTACCAAAGTCCAAAAGACCGGTTTTCTACATGGCTATCATTAGTAAATGATCAGCATAGCAGCAAGCTAATACACTTACTTTAATCTTCTAATGACTTTTGATACAAGAGATTGGTGAGAGGGCTATACACATAAGACTGATTTTAAAGAAATATCTTCAAACAGCAGTGACTAAAAAATAATTTTAATTTACTTTAAGTCTTCTTTACAGGCATCAAATAGGAAAGAAGAAAGGACTTCATTTCTCTGCATAATTTCTGTGTCTTGAATCAAATTTCTTTCCTGCTGGCATCACAGAAATCTTAGATTTTAAAAGGGAATCTCCACCTGGTTATAAAAGGGCATGTTGAGATTGGGAAGGAAAACTGGGAATTATGAAGAGGACCTCATTTCCCTCTTTTTCTTTCTTCTCTTCCCAGGACCGTGAACTGTGGACCAGTGGTCATCAAAGCTAGTGGAAGCAGACCTGAAGCAGGGCATTGCTGAGGCTCTGCAACCTCACACTGGGCCGTGGACGTCACCATTCGACTGGTGCAAAACTTTGCTTGGGGAAAGGTCCCAGCAGTCCGTCGCTGAGATGTTGAAAGTGGGGTGTGGTGGCTAGAGCCATGGACTCTTGGACTGGAGCTGTTGAAAACTGCTGTTTCAACTTCTCACTGCTGCCAAAAACCTTCCTGTGTGCTAGGCTCTGTGCTGGAGGATTTCATTCTTTCTCAAACGTATCAAAGGAAAGTCATGTGATCACTAGTGCCTGAGGTGGACCTCTCCAGTGAGCTTTGGGTTTCCTTCACACATAAGGTGCATACAGAAGGGGCTGGGAAGGTGGCTCAGTGGTAGAGTGCTTGCCTTGCATGCATGAGGCCCTGGGTTCGATTCCTCAGCACCACATAAGCAGGAAAAAAAAAAGCCGGCAGTGGTGCTGTGGCTCAAGTGGTAGAGTGCTAGTCTTGAGCTGAAGAGCTGAGGGACAGTGCCCAGGCCCAGAGTTCAGGCCCCACGACCGGACCCTCCCCCCCAAAAAAAGGCATACAGAAGAAATAACCATTAAAGGGTAGATGAAAGATAAGAAAGAATAATAGCAAAGGCTAATTTGATCAAAGTATATTATGTACTCATATGGAAATAGCACAGTAAAGTCTTTTGTACAATTATTATATGATAGGGCTGGGAATGTGGTTTAGTGGTAGAGTGCTTACCTAGCATGCACGAAGCCCTGGGTTCGATTCCTCAGTACAACGTAAACAGAAAAAGCCAGAAGTGGTGCTGTGGCTCAAGTGGTTATATATATATATATATATATATATACACACATATATATATACATATATATATATACATATATATATACATATATATATATGATAATCAAAAAGAAATAACTGCCTCACACTGAATAATCTATGCCAAAAATTGAGGAAGATTATAGAGACTTTATAAATTTAGAGGACTTCATTTCTAAAAGGATCACTCAAATTCTTGATACAGCTCAGTATCAGTTGGTAGCTAATGCCTGTAATGCCAGCTACTCAAGAGGATCTGAGGGTTACAATTTGAAGCCAGCGGGAGGCAGAAAAGGCCTTGAGACTCTATCCCCAAATAACCAGTACGAAGGATGGATTGAAAGGTTAGTCAGCTCAAGGGCTGGGAATGTGGCTTAGTGGAAGAGTGCTTGCCTAGCATGCATGAAGCCCTGGGTTCCATTCCTCAGTATCACATAAAAGACCAGAAAAGGCACTATGGCTCAAGTGGTAAAGTGCTAGCCTTGAGCAAAAGAAGCTCAGTGACAGTGCCCAGGCCCTGAGTTCAACCCCTAGGACTGGCAAAAAAAGAAAGAAAGAAAGAAAGGAAAGAAGGAAGGTAGTTTAGCTCAAGTGGTAGAGTGTCAGCTGTGAGTAAAACAGTCAAAAGCTAAGAATGCAAGTCCCTGAGCTCAAGCTTTGGCACCAGCACCAAAATAAATACATCAATAAGTGAGTTTTATGTACATAGATGGTTAAGCAATAGTGTAAATGTAATTAATGCTTCTAATTTACCTAGTTAAAGTGGCTCAAATGGCATGTGGTGTATTTCGTTTACCAGTTACAAAAAGGTTTTTAAACATATTGTTTGTGTGTGTGTGCGTGTCGTGCACGCGCCAGTTCTGGGCTTGAACTATCTTGCTCAAGGCTAGCTCTCTACCACTTGAACCACAACCCTTGGCTTTTTTGGGGGGTTTTTGGTGGTAAGAGATGAGTCTCTCGGACCTTCCAGGGTTATAGGCGTGAGCCACCAGCGACCGACTTCAAAGTATACTTTTGTCATCTTTAAGTAGCTGTACAAAGGAGTTACCACGCAACAAATCCGTTTATGAATACACCGCATCTTGAGTGATCACTCTCCACTCACCCTTCCCACCCCCAGGCCTCCCCTCAAGGTTCTGAATGTCACAGGTTACCACTGCATTCTCCACCCCGCTCCCCTTCCCAAAAAGGTTTCCAGCAGGTGGACCACACCGAGGCTCCGAGTGCCCGCGACACGGGTCAATCCCGGGTTCACAAGCCTGCTCTCACCAACGCACCCGGACCCCGCGGCGGGCGATCCCCGCCGGGCACCCCCCCCCCTCCGCTTCGGTCTCCATCCCCTCATTCATAAAAACGCAGGCAGTGGCGGAAATGACCTTTAGAGCTCTTTCCAGCGCAACGCGTTCCCGTTTTAGGAATGAAGACAGGAAAGTTCAAGGTCCGGTGGCAAAGCAACT